CAAGACTATGGGGACTTTTTCACCTCAGGCCTGAGAGGAAAGGGGCAGGGTGTAGGGGAGGTGGAGTCCTGCAGAAGAACCGGGACCTTGCAACAGATCTTCTCCCAAGAAGTCATGCAGTCTCCCCAAGAGAAACAACTCATCAAGGCATGGCAGGAAAGTGGGAGAGCGTAACAAAGTTCTGTAGCATTACAGTGCGGCAGCAAAACCGGAATACACATGTGCTCACATGGACCATCTTCACTGAATAGGTGGTCCGAGCAAACTATCACACTGGATCTTGGGCGGACATGTCTGGGAAACAAGGTGCTGACCTGCGTGAGGAGGAGTGAGCAGAATCTAAGTATAGGCTGAGGCAGGAAGTCAGGAGATCGGTCTGAGAACTGGGTCTGGGAGCAAGCTGAGTTAGGAAGTCAGAAGGTCAGGAAGAGCACAGTCAGACAGTGGAGTAGCCAGAAGATCAAATAGAGAGCTGATGCAGAATACAAGACAGAGGAAACAGCAAGTCTGTCTGGGATCAGGTTGAGCCCTGTGTGCGAAATCCTTAAGCCCCAAAAATTGGCACTAGAAGCCAAGAAGGGTTTCTACTTTAAATAGAAAATCCTAGGGGTCAGGGTTACAAGCCAACAGGCCAGAGAGGGAAAGGGTAACAGTTAAATAGACATTAACATTGTAGTAACCATAGGCGATGCATGGGGTGGGCACCGGGGGTGGGGCATGTGAGATTGGCCCCCAGGAGTGGGGACGACGGTCAGTACACCCCCTGAGATTGTGGGGACACCGAGAGAAGTGGTGGTGATTGGCCACTGGGGGACACCCCCCTCCCCCGGTCAGCTATCAGCCACCGGTGCCCTCCAAGTATCAGGAGGCACCAGTCGCCCATGGTGGTAACATGTACTCAAGGAATAGGTAACAGGTAATAGGCACTAACATACATACAATCAGCAACTTAAGTTCCTCCCCCCAGCTCCAGAAGTGTTCCCAAACCAGCCTTTAGTCCCAAGAGCACTTAGATTTCCAAGTGTGTTTCCAAGTCTAAGTCCCGCTCCTTCAGTCCACAGTCTGGCCGATTCCTGCTAGCACGGTTCCCCAGCTCCCCCAAGCACCGCCACCATTCCACTGGGATATCCTCTGCAAGTGTCCTTGGTCGAGTCTGTCACTTCCTCTCCCTTTGCTCCCAGACCCCTTAAGGCTTCTGGGGGCTGTAGTAAAAATTACAGTCAGCACACAGTTCTGTGAAGGGGAAGCAGGACTGTTCCCCCTGCTGTCAACTGCTCCCCTTGCTGATCCTGACCAACCACTCCGGTGGTAGCGAGTGGGTGGAGGGCTAAGGCTTAATGAAGGATCACGCCTTCTCTGCCCAGTCCAAATGGTTAACTGCAGGGTGGCAAACTTGGATGAGCAAGCAGGCCAAGGCCCCAGGCTTGTAGCAGCATTTTGCAAAATCCTGGAAGTCAGAAAGATGGGGGAGCAACTATCCCACAAATCAGGAACTGCACTGTGAAAACTGGCCTCCAAGGCTCTGCTTGGAAAGCAGGGAGAAGGTGGTCAAGCAGGAGAAAGTGACTAGATGCTAGGAAGGCAGGAAGCCTGCCAGGGAAGGGCCCAGGTTAAGGGAAGCTGTATTCCCTTCCCTTCGCCTCTCTGATGGCGTGGGGTGGTGAGAGAGCTGTTGGCACCTGAGGGGTCAGAAACTGAATGAGTGTTCTGTGTCACGGGGTCAGAACAAGGGAGCAGCATGAGCCTGTAGTCCCAAGAGGCTCTGTTGCACTATACCTAAGAATCAGCCAGAGCTCAAAGGGAAGAAGATGCCCCGAACAGTGAATGAGAGGCATTCATACTGCTTGTGACTGATTGGAGCGATTGTGGCTGAGAAAGATAACTTTTGCTACCATTACACCAATGGAGAGATTGCCAGGAAAATCTCTCCCAAAAGCTGTGGGAGGGATCTGCACCCAAGAGCAAGGGGTGGGAGTCAAAAGCCAGCTACAGCAAGGGGTCTGCACAGCCTCCATCCCCAGAGAATCAAGTGCAACTTTCTTTTCCCTGGTCTCCTTTTTGGGGAAGGAGACAGTGACCTTAATCTCATCTTCCAGTTCTGCTAGAATCAGAGGCCACTGGAGCAGGAAGACAGCAAACCACAGCCTGGATTGCCCCACCCCTGCGGGAGAACATGAACTCACAATGACTGACACAAACAAAGACATGGGGCTCTGGCTTATTCTGCCTCCCAGTTTTTTTATAGAGTAACGGATGGCTGAGATTTCCTGGCATTGTTCTCTCAAAGGGGAGGGCAGCATGACTTCCTCACAAACCAAGAAGGGTTTGCAGTTCTGCCCAGTGCAGGGTGTAGGGGCAGAACAAAAAGCCAGAGCAGGCCTTGGGGTATACTGAGCTAGACAGAGTAGTCCATGCTCGGCCCTGACTGCCCAAGCACCCTATTCCCAGACACCGTTCCTTGCCCACCCATGGCCCTATCCCATCCACCCAGTGTGCTCTGCCCATGGGGTTCCCAGGCCAGTCTTCATGGAGACCTGCCCACCTGCTCTGTCCAGCGCCCCTGGCAGTGCAAGTGGGGTGGAAGGGTCCGGGTGCCTGAGCAGCGAGGCCAGGTCTGGTATCCACAGCACCACTGGCAGAGGCAGTGGGAGGGAGCTGCTGTTGCAGGGCTTGTCAGGAAGTTGAGTCCAGGTGCTGCACTGCCCCAGCTGAGAAAAGCCCCAGGACTCACTGCTCCTGGTGCAGCCTCGGAGCTTCGGGGGCTCATGCAGAACCCCCCACATGGCGTGGGGCAGCAGAGATTGCCCCCCACCAGCAGGAGCAGTGAGTCTGGGGGGGTTTAAGAGGGGCAGGGAGAGGACCAAATGGAAGCACTGAGAAGATGTCAGGAAGGGGCATTAAAGGGGCCAGAAGGGGAAGACATGACTATCTACCCGCACATCCTAGACAGCCATGCTCACCACCTCCCTCTTTGGCTCACATTTGTGTGTTGCCTTCCTCAGGGACACTCCCTGCCCTGTGCCCAGACCAGCAAAGCGCTCCTATCAGACCAGCGCCTTACTCCTTGGACACCTCTGTGCCTGTCACCACAACCTCCATAAAACCAATGTCTCAAGATGTGGGACAGAGCCTGCTATAGAAAGAAAAACTGCAGCACACACTGCAGGGAAAAGAAAGCTGTGGAACGCCAGTGCGTGTCCCCATCGCAGCACTCCATAGCATGGTAGCCCATCCCTGCATGACATCCAGTCCCTGGTGCCACCTGCCAGAGACACTGCTCGAGCTGCCCTATGTGTGATGTACTCAGCCTCTGATCCCTCTGGGGAACAGGCTGCTTCCTCGTCTCTGTTGTCCACCTCTCAGCAGCGAAGAAAGAAACTACACAAATCCAAATCACCACCAAACAACTCGCAGCACGTGGAGGATGACTCCCCTTCACAGTGCAGGGGCTGCCACTGAGGAGGAGAGACATGGGTCAGTCATTATAAACTGAGCCTGCAGACAAGAAGAGTATGCACTACAGACCTGCTGACAACACAGCTGGCTGGCCCAGTGCTGTTAGCACTTTCCCTGTTAGCAGGTTCCCTCCCACTTCATTGTGACCCTGCCCCTACTCAGTGCTACAACTCAGGGGAGGGGAGAGGGGATGCAGTCGCAGGATCAATGGCCCCTGTTCTTTTTCTCAGGAGCCTCCCCCCGTGCTTGGGGCCTGTGGGGCTGCATGCCATGCATTGTCTATCGAGTTCATTCTCCAGGCAAAACAATGCTGTAGTTGTGCAGCCCAGGTCCCAGCCTGCCTGGGACCGACACGGATGGTCACTTTCTGCGAACACATTCACACAGAAAAGTTACGCCCAAACAATGGGGAAAGGAGAAAAGCTGGGGGAGGGACAGGAATCCTTTAGCATGCATGCACTCAACAAGAGGCTTGTCCAAGCACCAGAGCGCAGCTCCCACTGGCAGGCCTGGGACTCAGGCCTCAAGCACTGTGGAGATCCTGGCCTCAACCACTCCCTGCCCTTGACTTGTCGTGTAGTTTGAATATGCATCTGTATGTTTCCGTGTGGGCAGGATTGGGTGGATAACATTAGCTATGAATGTTCTGCCTTTTTTATGTAGTTATTTTAAGCATGCTGACATTCTGTAACATTTTCTTTCTGTTCCAGTTCCTGGTTTATATTTGGAGTCCTAACGTCACGGAAAGGAAGGTGATTTTGTCTGGGAATTATCCTCCATTTTGTACAGCAGCTGCTGAGTCCAACCCCTGAAATGGATGTTCATTGACACCAGGCAGGAAAGCAGTGGAGGCTTTGTTTTTGGGAGCGTTTTAAGCCCATTTGAAAGTGAGAATAATTTGCAATGAACAAAGCTGCACTTTTTCTATTGAGTTTCAGAAATATTTTGTCTCTTTGGTCCAGTGTTTCCTTCATGAGTCTGAACATTTCCAGGGAAGAGAAAAGCCATTTTGCCATCTCCATAAGTGGAGAATGAGCCGGCTCGGAGGGCTGAGCAGAGCTCAGTTAACTGTGCTGCCAGCACCAAGCACCTGAACCAGACACAGAGACTGAAAGCAAAAATCAACTGCACAAAACAGCAGAGGCTGTAGAATATCAGGTTGGTCACAAAGGACCAGCGTCCCTGTGTTGGGCTGCTCCGGTGGTTGGAGCTGTTCTGCATAGTAAAGACGCCCAAACAAAACAGGCCTTAAAAACAACTGGAAAGCCAGGCTGACCCAAACTAGAGACCCCTTCACACTGGCAAACCCAAAACTCCCAACAGAAATGCCATTTATGAATGAAATGGCTTTGGTGCCAATAAGAGTATTCGTTCACAAACTGGTTTAGGCCAAAGCACCAAGAATGTGCCAGTGGTTATTCCAACCTTCCTGAGGGTTGGTACTGAGAAAGAAAATGGCAGTGACCCCAAGAAATCAGTTCTTGCTCTAGTATCAACTTCAGCAGCAGCAGTGCAAGAGGCCTCTTGCCTCTGAGCTCACTTACCTTGAACCTGCCAGAACGCCACCCCCAGCCAGAGTGCTTGAAGAGCAGCCCACACTCGTGCCATGCTTTCCTAGCCGCTGGTTCAGTTAGTGCAGACGTACTCCTGTCCTAGGGAAAACTCATCCATTTAGCCCTCAACTGTTGCTCTGTGCCTTAGGCGATATCTCTCTCCAGCATGCTCTTCTCCTCAGGAGTGTCCTTGCCAGTCCAGTTTCATATCACTGGGTGGCAGCAGCTGCTCCCCTGGCTCTGCTCACTGCAAGGAGTGAGTGGGAACTACAGCTTTGCCATCTGCAAGGTCAGTTGAAAACTACAGCTGCTTAATGAGCCCTCATCCTGGCCCACACAGGAGGGGAGAGACTGCAAACCTTCCTGTTTCCTACTCCTGCAGGAGAGCTGGAATTTGGCCCCTCCCAAACTAGTTCCAGGAATAAACAAGCCCCTTGCCAAGAAAACTGCCATTTTATTTTTCCTTCAACAACATCTTTCTGTCTCCCCCAGGAGCCCCCTTATCTAAAGTCCCAGGTTCATTTTCACTGCTGTTGCTGTCATCTAAACAAGTAAGAGGGCATGAGAGCAGGTTCCATTTTTGCTATCCTCATAAAGCTGGAGTTGGTTCCTGGTTCCCAGTCCCATATTTGCAGTTCCTGGTTTCTTTTTCAAACTTTCTCTTTCAACAATTATAAAGGTGTTAGCAATGACTGAGATACAGTAAAGAGGTCTATATTTCATCAGACATGTATTTGCTGATAAGAATGTAACATCATACTATGCATCAAGAATTCATGGCATCATCCATAGAAATTAAAAACAGTTAAATTCAATACACGCACATATGTAATCGATGAAACAACTTAACAGATCCCCTGCGATCAAAGGGCTGGCCTAAAGAAAAAGGAGCAAGGGTGCTGTCTGTTGTGAAAATTGGTTTTCAAGTGGCATAGAGCCACCTGAAGCAACCTCATGCTTTTATGATCCGCAGAGACCCCTAATTAAGGAGCTGGGTTGGACTTAATCCCCGGGATCAAATCTATCTCAGGTAACCCCAAACAACACATTCCTGTGATCTGGGATCTCTTCTGAGGCAACCTGGGTAGGGTGCTGCCCAACCCAAAGCTTGGTTTTCAAGTGGCATGTTGCCAGCTGCCAGCACAGTAAGTGTTCAACTTGTATGCAAGACTGGTTTTAGAGCACATGTAGCCACAGCTCAGAATACTGCTATCTACTTGGATGGTGACTCATGGGCATTTAAACAAGAGAAAGAGCATGCTATGTTTTGCAGGCAGCAGCATTAGTCTTGAGTTTTCAAACACTACAAGTCATGCCTCCAAAATCATGACTGGCTTCAAAATAATTCTCTTATAAAGTATTTTAAAAATATGAGAATTAAAATAATAAATTAGGTTCTTTGCCTGATGGCTTCTTAGCTTCATGAACTTGGGTCACATTTCAGTTTTCTGCACTGTCATGCAGTCACACCTATAGAATTGGAATAGATGTTGCTTGCATCCCACCCCAGCCACAGCTGGGCATCAACTGCACGTTTCTATAACGTGGCCTTGCACAAACCTCCCTCTTACAGCCTGGGTGGTAAAGCAAAGACCTACAGGGTGTGCCTAGAGTTGGCCTTTTTCTTCACATTTTTCCCCACCACAGCAGAGGGCAAGATGGCTGAGCCACTATGATATAGGATGCTGCTGTCTTGTGTATCCCTGCACTGCTCCCTTTAGCAGAGATGTTCTGATGTCAGCAAGGATGGGGAATTTCAGGGGAAAGAACCAACTGTGGACAAGACCCAAATTGCCTAGGACATCACTGGATTCTCAGTCTTCCTGTAAATGTCCCCCTTTCTGAGCATGGCAGAGCTAGACAGACAAACATTGACCGTGTTAAGTATTGACAGGGTGTGTGTGTGTGGGGGAAGGGGAGCACAACTCTGTGCCATCCCCACCACTGCCCCAGTTGTTGCTAGGTGTTGGCTCTAAACAGAGTGCTGCCCTACACCCTGTGGTCAGTGCAGAAATTGCATTGGTGTTAGACCCTGGCTACAGCTGGGGTGTGCCCCTGCGCCCCACCATTGGCACAAAAAGGGGCTGCTCCCCTCCATGCTCCCCTCACATGTCACCAGTGGGGACAGGGGAAGCATTTGCTTTATCCCACAAAGAAGCCATTTGAAATGATTAATGTAATGATGAAGCTATGTTAAATGAACCTTGGAGTCATTTCCTTCAGTTGCCTCCAAAAGCTTATAAAAACCAGGAATTAGCAGTGTGCTGGGAACACAATAGCAGGATACCATGAAGCAGGCAGGAAATACCAAGATGAATAGAAACCAAGCAATAGATTGCAGCCAGCCAGTGGCAAGTGCTGTGGGACTGCCCTGTGGTTGGCCCTGACCTGATTTTTAGACTAATTTCTCTCTCTCTCCCTGAACCTATTTGCGTGTCTCAGCTCTTGGTGAGCTGCCCCTCTCACAATCACAGGGTTCCTCTGGTGGGTTCGAAAAGTCCCATCCATCCTTCTTGGACACAGGAGGATTGTGTGTCATAGGCAGGGTTCAAATTACACTCCGAGTCTTGGGGGGCCTGTGGCGATTGCAGCCGGAAGCTGGAAGGAGCCCCTGCCACCTGAGCTGCATAGAAAGGCATGGGGTGGGCCAGGGGCTCTCGTCTTTTATGGGTGGGCTCAGCCCCTCTGAGCCACCCAGTATTTCAAACCCTGGTCATAGGCAACTTAAAGATGAGACGGATGAAATGCTGGGGTAACCAGACAGAGTGTGAATGTGTGGATTGCAAAGTGCATCTGTGGGTGAGGGAGACTATGGTGATCTGTTTGCACTGAGCTCTTTTACAAGCAAGTTCCCTGTATTGCCACTATCAGTTCAGCTTCACTGATTGCAGCAGGGCTGGCAGGACAAGTCGACACTACTGGGCACCTACACAAGACGCTGATTGTGCAATAGCAGAATAATTGTGCACAGTAGTGCATCACAGCACAGATAATGCTAATATACTACTGCACAGTATTATGGGCAGGGATTCTAGATTCATCTGTTTAAAAAAAATCACAGATTCTCTGATTAAAAACCCCAAAATCCACGATTTCCATGATTAAAATGAAACACCACTATATATATAGGTATCAGTTGAACACAATGTTGTATTCATATATTTACAGTTTTAAAACTATTTGGAAGCCTATCAGTGCCTCAATCACTATAATAAAATAAATTCTAAATACAGTAAAAACTGCCTTAACCAACACCTTAACAAGCTGGCATGCTCTATTAGCCAGCATGCCAGCTTGTAAGGTAAAAGAGAGACCAGAAGCGCCCACTGTGGCACTTCTGGTTTCGTCGAGCCCCCACAGCCAAAGGCAAAGCAGCCTGCACTGCGAAGCCCCCATGGCCTGGGGCATAGCAGGCTGCAGGGGGCCCGCCTCCCTGTCCCTCGGGGCCCGCAGGGCCTGTGGGAGGGGCAGTGATGCGGCGGGAGGGGCAGCGACGCCCCAGACGTCAACCCAAACAGGCAAAGACACCTGGGTGCCGGATAACAAAGCTTTTGCTGTACATATAAATTTTGGCATTTGATTTTGGGTTTTTTTATCATGGAAAAATCAGAGCTCCCCCTACCCTTTTCGCTCACCAGGATGTGGGTCCAGCTGAGCCTGTCCCCCCTGCCCCAACTGCTTTGTGGTGCTGAGCAGCTGTGTTATGCCGGTGCCCTGCCCATGTCATTGCCCCTCACTCCCCACCCATAGCCCCCTGGCCCTGGGGGAGAGCGACAGATGTAGGCTAGTGCCTGGGGGCTTGGGGCTTCCTGTCCTGCTGCCCTCCCCCTGGGGCCTGTGTGGCCCAGCAGGCAAAACCTAATGGGGAAGAGCAGAGTAGGGCAGGACAGGGTGGGAAGTCTTAGTGCCACCAGTGGGACACCGCACCACCACGGCAAGGCACCTGTTGCCCACCTGGATGCAGTGTGGAGCACAACTCCATGCCACTGCCCCTGCTGCTGCCAGGTGGACTGAGGGTGCCTCACCATGTCATAGATTCATAGACATTAAGGCTGGAAGGGACCTCGGAAGATCATCGAGTCCAGGCCCCTGCCCAAAGGGCAGGAAGTCAGCTGGGGTCATAGGATCCCAGCAAGATAAGCATCCAGTTTGTCAGCACGGGGCTCCTGGCAGTGACTGAGCCTCCCCTCCATGCCCGGCCTTGTCATACCATGTCCTGCCTCCTGGGCTGCAGAGGCCACGAAGGGAGGACAGCAGGTTGGGGAGCCCCAAGCCCACAGCAGTGAGCTCACATCTGCCTCTACCTCTACCTTCGCCTCTGCCCCAAGCACAAATCTGGGGGGCACATGCCCCCCATATGCTCCTGGGAGTTCACGCAGTGGTGGGGAGCCAGCCCTCCCGTCCCAACCTCTGGATGAGCTACCCACAGCTCTTCCGGCCCTGTGGCTATGTATTCCAGCCCTGGGCCCCAAGCCCCACGCGCTGCCCAGGCACCCCCACACACCACCCAAACCCTGTCCAAATCCGTCCCTCACTATGGGGGCATCAATCCTCACCCACGCCTGACTTACCTACGGGGAGCTGCTCTCAAGGATGCCTGCCTGCCACATGCATGTGTGTATGCATATACGCATACAGTGCCTCATGTTTGATCGCCCACCTCCTGCTCCCTCTCACCCCTTTCAGGCTGGAACTCCGCCAGCCTGCAATAGGGAAACCTGCCATTTCCTGCATTTATTCCTTTAAAGATGAAAATCTGGGTTTTACTACATTTTTCCATGGCAAACAGAAAATCCAGATCCCTGATTATTAGGCTACTGTGCAGTACCATCACTTAAAAGGCGTTTGCCAGCACTACCGCACAGTAACTCAGGTTCCTGAGTGTTTATTTAATACTTGCTTATAAAAGTACTAAATAAATGTGCATTGACATATGAGACACAGTAGCGTCTCATATAGATGCATCCACTGTGTACCAGCTCTAAGCACAATGGTAAAACCCACAGAAATCCAGTCAATGAGTGTTCCCACTGGGAGGTGGCAGGGGTGTGGGGGCCCTCAGTCCCTGCTTTCATGGCGGCACCGTCCCCACCATTCCCCAGCAGGGCTTGAGAAGGGGGCGAGGGCAGCGGTGCTGGCCTCACCCCCCTTCCCTGGCCTGCTCCTTGGAGACAGAGGGGGACAGAGAGGGGAAATGGCCCCAGCCCAGGCACAGTGGGGGACAGAAGGGAGGGGGGGGGAACGGGGGCCAGATGAGAAGTGGGGGCAGGGCCAGATGCGAGACTCTGTCCCCACCCGCCCCCACCCATGAAGGTGGGGACTGAGGGGCCCGCGC